ATTTTGAGCAAGTACTTAAGAGCTAATCTACCTACTCGAAAAAAGAATTGTTCTATATTTGTTTCCTTTAGACAACACTATCCCACTATTAGTGAGTAGGTAGCACCTTCGTTGGAGCTTGAGGGTTAACTTGAAAGGGACGTACGATCACTAAAGCAATGTTAGGACGTCTTAGTAGTAACTCTAATGTCTTAAGATCAACCTTCGAGGCAACAATTTCGAGGCAACCATTCCGAGGAAACTTTTTCGAACGGGACTTTGATCTTTGTTTAGACAAGAGAGCGACCACTAAAGCATCCTATACTTAATGACCGTTTACCGAAGGAAACCGAAGTGGGAGTATACCCTAGGAATGCGCATGTGTGAGTGATTCAATTTCAAGTTATCATCTTTGCACATTTAGGTTTTGCTAACCGTTTTAAAGTTAACCATACATTCTTGTCATGCAACCCTAATTATTAATACATCTAATAGTTAATATTTTGCGGAATTTAAAGTGCGGAAAATAAGCTACGCTATTACAAGGCTTCGGGTATTTACAGAGCCAAAAACAAACCCTTAAAAAAACGATAAATGAAAGTAAAAGGTCCTAATTAATCTATTACAACTTGTGAGCAATTAAATCAGTATGGTAAAAAAAAAAAAAGCGCGCGCGAGGAATTAAGAATGAGAGAGAACTAGGGTTTTAACCCCGTCTAACCTAATCGAAAGAAACAATTGTTTTTGTTGTTTTTAATTATTTTTAAGAAAAGAATTAGGTTTTTAAATTAAATACAAAAATAATTAGTAATTAAATTAACTAAAGAAAATAATTACATTTAACCTATTTTTGTGTTTTTGGTTATTTTTAAGAAAAAGAAAAAAGAATTTAAATTTAGACAAACCCTAATTTCTAATTGTTTTTAAGTTATTTACAAAATAATTAATGTTACCTAAAGTTAAATAACCTAATTAAATTAAATAATTTTTTGATAAAAAAATAAACCTAAATCTAATTGGGTGAAAAACATTATTTTTATGATTTTTTGAATAAAAGAAAAAATTAATTTGTTAGTAAAAATAATTTATGAAAAAAAAATGGAAATATAAAGAGAAAGAGAAAAGAGATTTGGGCCTGGTTATGAGTAATTGGGGGGGGGGGGGGGGGGGAGGGGGGTGCACTGCTAGCAATCTGGTCCCAAAAGAAGGTAGTCCATGTTGACCTGCCCATTCCAGTGCTATGCGTTGACTGGGGCGTATCATGGTCCCTCAAAGGATGGCCTTCAGATCTGGATGGTTGGTGATCCGTTGGTTAGGAGATGATGCCCCATGGTGATCTTCATGCCTTGTGGAACAGGGAATATGTAGAGAAAATTCAAGAAAAATGCGAATGTTGGAGGCAGGGGTCGAACCCCTGACCTCAAGCTCTCCAATGCCTTAGTGCTTACCTGGCCACCGCTGGGCCATTTGGTTCAATTGATTATTAAATGAAACAAAAACAATAAAAAGAATAAAATGACATTAGCTGTAAAACACACACGTGAATTCAAATGCACGAATGGGATGGATCCACGTATGTCATCTTCTTCCTCTCTCCGTTGGTAAAAGTCACAAACTTTTACCTAAGGACATATGTCCATAGCTACAGGTCCTGCAATTCTCAAAATCGAATACAAGCATGATAAATAAAAACTAAAGCCATGGATTGATTCGTCTTGGCCTGCTGAGCACGATGGTGTTCCTTTTATGGCCCAATTTTACCTGTATGAAGAGATCCCAAATCAAAGCAAAAAACCCTAACAATGGAAAATTCTAATACAGTCCATGAAAATGAAATTAAATGTTATGGATAGTTTAGAAATGTTTCAAGGAGCAAGAATCTATAATTATTTCATGCTATAAGTGTCAGAATCATGCAATTCGAATTCAATAAAAAGCCATTGTCGTGGCTGGCTTACAGTGAGTTACAATGCTGGAAACTCCCTGTTCTTGATTGGTTTCGCTTGCTTGTGATCCCAGGAAGCGATTGGGATGGCTAGAGGGTCTTGAGAATGCCTGGAAATATGAATTCGACTCAGCACTTTTTTGTGTTTTTTCCAAGTTTCTTCTGCCTTCCCACGCCTCTCTAACCTCTTTTTCTAGGTCTGCAATTGTTCAATATATATCAATGATTGAATTAGAGTTGCAAACATGATCTCAATCTTTGGCAATTATTGATTTTAATTTGGATTTGATTCACTTGAAGATCCTTCCAAAAATATGCCAAATTCAATCTTTTTTTGCACACCAAAGCTTTTCACGAATTAAATCACTTGCCAACTAGATATAAGACCTGAAACATGCACAAGATCTTGAGATTTCAATGTTTTGGATTTTTTCATGATTTATTTTGATTAAAATTGATTTAATTCAAATAAAAATCAAAATAAATAATAAAAATAAGATAATGACAAGTGGAAAGATCTAGGGCTCGTGGACCATGCTACCAACTCAAAACAAGTGCAAAAAGTTAGGCCCATTTAGCAAAAATTGCAATTTTAGGCATAGTTGACTTTTGGCAATTTTGCAAAAAAGGTCAACTTCACCAATGCATAACTTCCTCAATTTTGACTCTTTGAAGGTGTTCTTAGACTTTTTAGAAAGCTTGAGATGTCCTATAAGCAACCCTTTTGGTCTAATCTCAATTTGATATTCCATGCTCATGTATGAAGCTTTAACAAAAAGGTGTTTTTGTTGACTTTTGAAAATGACCTATAATGTCCAAATTCATAACTTCTTGTGAGTGCACATTTTGAACTTGGGAGATGAATATGGATTATAAAGAATTGCATCTTCCTAAAAATGAGCTTTAGATGGGTCATTTCTCATAAAGTATGAGAAAGTTATGCTTGGTCAAAGTTGAGTAGACTTTTCCTACAAAACCCTAATTTAACAACTTTTGAGTTTTGATGAATTGTGAGCAATCCTTGATGAATCATGATCAACCCTTGATAAAATGATGAATTAAACTTCAAAATGAGGATGTTGACCAAAAATCTTTAAGTTTGATTGTATGTAGGCCACAGTTGACTTTTGCCCTAACATAGTCGATTTTCAGGCCTTTGAGCAATTGACTGAGCAAACTTTCTCTGTAGGGATTGAAACTTGACATGGATGATCTTGAGAACATATTAGGACAATGGTGAGCATTTGGGATCCCTTGGACTCAAGTATCTTGATGCAACATGAAACCCTAATTTGAGGTAGACTGCCTTAAGAGAGAGCTTATCCGGTCAACCCTTGGACTTTCTTGAGCAATTTGAGGACCTCACTTGAAATGTATTGAGAAATATGGGAGGGAAAATTTTGGGGTACAACAGCTGCCCCTGTTCAATCTTCTTAAACCTGAGGATGTAGATTGGCTGGCTTGCCTTTCGTGATCCAAAGGTGGAAGATGATTGAACACTAGAGTGCCCAGAAATTTGCACTTGCATGAAGTGGTAATTGTCTTGTGATGTCGAGAATGGGCTTATAGATGCCATTTGGAGATTGATGACGGAAGATGGGCTTAAAGATGCCATCCGAAGGAGTGTCGATCGCATAAGAGATTCCTTAGCGAGAGCTTGTATACCTGTTGTTGAGGAAGATTCTGCTGGGGAATGTTGTTCTTTGTTTTTGGGAGAAATAGAATTTTAGGAGCTTCGGTCGTCCGTTATTCTATTGGTGAATCGTCTCTGTTTCTTGATAAAAGTTGAATTTTAGGAGCTTCGGTCGTCCGTTATTCTACTGAGGAATCGCCTCTTAGTTGAAGAGGTGAGAATGAACTACTATCTGGTCGTGATCCAGGCTTCATAGTGATAAGACTGACTGCTATATGGTCATAATCTAGGATTTATAGTGACTTACCGGGGAGATGAGATTAAACTTGCTATTCGGTCGTAATCCAGGCTTCGCAATTTCTCCATTCTTATCTGGTCGTAATCCGGGGTTCAGAAGGAATTCAAATGTTATCCGGTCGCATCCGGGATTTAACTTGAATTTAGGGCACACTAATATCCAGTTGACTCCGGGCTTCTTAGTAATTGTCCAGGTAAACTGCTATTTGGTCGAAATCCAAGCTTCACAGTGTCTTGTACTGTTATCTGGTCGTAATCCAGACTTCAGTCCTTTTATCGTTATCTGGTCGTAATCCAGGCTTCACGATGCTTTATACCATTATCTGGTCGAATCCAAGCTTCACAGTGTCTTGTACTGTTATCTGGTCGTAATCCAGACTTCAGTCCTTTTATCGTTATCTGGTCGTAATCCAGGCTTCACGATGCTTTATACCATTATCTGGTCGAATCCAGGCTTCATGGTGTTCTGTACTGCTATCTGGTCGTAATCCAGGCTTCACAATACCTCACTTCTTATCTGGTCATAATCCAGGCTTCAGAAGAAATCAAGTGGTTATCCGGTCGCCTCCGGGCTTCCATTTGATTTTTGGGCCTACTAATATCCGGTCGAATCCGGGCTTCATAGTAATTGGCCGGGTAAAATTCTATTTGGTAGAAATCCAAGCTTCAGTGTCCCTCACTGTTATCTGGTCGTAATCCAGGCTTCAGTGTCTTTTACCGCTATCTGGTCGTAATCCAGGCTTCACGATGTCTCATACCATTATCTGGTTGAATCCAGGCTTCATGGTGTTCGGAGTAGGGGTGGACACGCGGTCGGTTTGGGTTGGATTCGAGCTCAATTTATAAAACCGACATAAACCATGGATGCAATTGTTAAATCCAATTTCGACTGATTTGTACTTCGGTTTAGTCGGTTTCGGTTTGAACGATTTATCGGTTTAAATAGATCGGTTTATTCAGTTAATTGATCATAAATTTTATTTTAAAAACTTGACAGTATATAAAGGAAGGACTGCAATAATTGGCCTTGAATAATGTTCAACACCAGTTATAAACAGCTTGCAATTCATCTATATATAAACAGATTACTACACAAACTTAAATATTATAGACATCCAATATTTTACAAATAAATTCATGAAAATATCATGAATCATAATATCTTGAATCATGAAGAATGTTATGTTGTTGCTGGGGCTGATCAAGTCCACTCCTGCAACATTGATGTTCAAAATCAAAAAGTAATATTTCCATGAATGTCCATCTTCCATGGCAATAATGCCCATCTTCTATAACCAAACACTCCTATAACATTTACATCATTTATTAACACATTTAAATTTCAAACATAAAATGGATCTAAGATTAAGTTTAACTTGCCATTCATCCTCCACACATAGTGTGACTTACATTCAACTATGAAACTTTGGTTATTCAACTATGACAATTTGGTTATTTGACTATGACAGTTTGGTTATTTGACGGGTTCAACTGTAGTTTCTAATAGTTTGAATAGTTTAAAGAAACACAACTATGATTTAAAAGTCTCTTAGATTTATTGTGTGATTCTTCTTTTAAAATATTTCTTGAAACATCAAATCCTTAGTTTGAAAATAGATTTTGAATGTAAAACACAGGTAAAAAATGTCAAAATCTTCCAGCTCTATATTCTCAGAATAAGCAATAATTAACTCTTCTATAAGCACCATGGCACCACAATTGCTAGAGGATAAACTAAGTTCTTAACATACAACAAGAGCTAATTTATTTGTTGCTATTACCACCTGTCCATTCATTCCTCCAGTCTTTGTCGACATTTACATAGGATTTGATACAAATGAAGGGCATAAGACTTCATATATTTTGCTATCATAGATCATTTACATATCTCAATGTCAAATGATCTACTAATTTAAACAGAATTTCAAATAGAATTTTCAAACAGAATTCATCTACACATAATGTATCTACACAAAATTTATATACACAGAATTTTCAACATGTACAATGAGCATAAAATACAGAAGACTCGTACAATAAAAACTCAACACAACTCATTTTACTGACATAACAGACATAACAGAACGGTCAACCAATAAAAACCTACCCAAAATCCACCAGCAATTGCTTCTCCTCCTTCTTGCTTGCTGCTGGCTGACTTTACCATCATGTAACATGCCATATATCAGATGAAGATATAAAATCTTATGTTAAGCTGTATCAGCAGTCAATGAACGAAATTCAAAATACATTGAATATTATGAATGTAAATTGCATCCAACATCAAGTACATTGAATATAAGTGACATTAAATTGCCACCAAAAAGATTCCATAGTTGATGTCACAAAATTAATTTAATACCAACAATGTCTCATCTCTTTTTGTTACTAATACTACTTTGTAAAAGTGGTGGACATAATGTAACTACTAACTATTGCCTCAACCTCTACAGAATAATAGAACCAACTGAGATTGGTGAAATAGTTGTTTAAAATCTAGTGAAGACGAAGTAAATTTAAAGATACACACTTACCTTCACTCAGTCCTTGCAAACCAGCATTTTTGGCTCCTTGCAAGCTCCACTCTACAACTCCCCTCTACAGCCCCCCTCTACAGCTCCTTGCAAGCTCCCGTCTACTGCTCCTTGCGAGCTCCCGTTTCCATGTTCCATCTTCCGATAATAAAAACACATCAAACAATAAGTATTAAAACAAACCTATAAAGTATTTAAACATGATGGTTTAATTTTCAAACATAACAAACAATAAGCATTAACATGTCAATTTACTTTTCAAACACATCAAACAATGAGCATAAACAGGTTGGTTTAGTATGTTTCTATAAACTTACCATAAAGTTTTCAAACACATCAAACAATTAACATTAACAAATTTGGACAAGAAAGCAACATTGATAATGCAGGTTTGGGAATCAAGAGAGTATGTTTTAAGTTTCATTTCTACTAACTTAATATTATTCATACTTATACATATTTGAATGAATGTGCAAAAGAAAAAGATCAGCAGACACATGCTAACAAAACAAATTAACTAATCTTAATAATTGAAAGAACAAATTACTAACTCTATGAAAAATCACTCATTCAATGCGGCATTTTTCCGCCTCTTTATTTCTGGTAAACACTTAGCAGAAAATTACAATATTGATTGTGTTCTTAACTTTATATGAGAGCTTAATTTTAATCAATTATAAGTCAATAGATCTATGTTAAGGGTAAAGGTAGTTTAAGCATTTAAAATGATATTACTTTTTTCTTTTCTTAACAAAAATGGCGAAGAGGTCTATAAAGAAGAGTACAGTGTGTCTCAAACTCGTATGAGACCAGCAAAACACAAAAGTAAAAATAAAGCAGAACAAGATTTTCAACATATTTTCATGGTGAATTGTAGAAACCCAAAAAATCAGAAATAGAGGAAAGTTTGCTTGGTGGTGAATCATGATGAATCCAAAAATCAAAAATAGATAACGAGATTAAGGAGAAAGAGAGAGAAGATGAAAGAGAACAAAGAATAACTTACATTCATGGTGAATCGTGGCTTGGTGGTGCTCGTTGAGGACCAAACAACAACGACAAATTGAAGAAGACGATGAAGGTTGAAACCCTAGCGACAGAATAAAACTGAAGGAATGAATGATATCTAAGTCTCGAAGAAACCCTAATGAGTAATGGCTATGTGAAGAAAAATGATATTTTGGGTTAAGTAAAATGCAATTTAATGGGCCCATTACTTTTCAAACACATAACTATAATTCTGCTTCTCAGGCCGGTCGGATTTGGATATCCATGGGTCCAAATTCAACATCCTAAACCGACCAACTATATCCATTTGAACCCATTTTTTTACAAATAGTTAACCCGATGATTCGATTAACCCGACCCGCGTGTTTTTGGGTTTGTTGGGTAGGTCAGTTTGGGTCGGGTTGGGAAAATCTGTCCAGCCCTAGTTCGGAGGAATCAAGATACTATCCGGTCAAATTCGGGCTCCATAACTTGTATTAAATATATACCACTATCTGGTCGTAATCCAGGCTTCGTAGTATTCTTGGCTGCTATCTGGTCGTAATCCAGGCTTCACAAAAATTTGTATTGCTATCTGGTCGTAATTCAGGCTTCACAATAACTTGCTGAGCTGTTATCCGGCCGTGATCCGGGCTTCACGGCTTGTGTTTATGATATACCACTATCTGGTCGAATTCAGGCTTCATGGTGTCTCGGACTGCTATCTGGTCGTAATCCAGGCTTCATAGTAACTTGTTGGGGATTAAACTATTATCCGGTCGAATCCGGGCTTCATAGCTTGTTTTTAAGAGATACCACTATCTGGTCGTAATCCAGGCTTCGCGGTAGTCTGATACTATTATTCGGTCGTTCTCTGGGCTTCACAATATGCTGTAGAAATCAAGATACTATCCGGTCGGATCCGGGCTTCATAGCTTGAACTTTGTGAGAATTTGATTGTATCTTTCCTGAAAGGTAAAGGTTAGCCGTATGTAATGCATGACATGTATCAAGCAATGATGTTATCAAAATAAATGAGATTGCGCTGTATGATGCGTATGCGTATGTCATGATGTATGGACATGCAATGTTTTTATGATATCCTCTAGTTGGAGAAAATAAATCCCGGATTGCTGCTGGAGAATGAAATAGTTTCACTCGTTAGGGATAACGACCGAAGGTGATTGAGATGATAATCCTGCTGGAGAATACATTGGTGAGAGAACGACTCTGTGGGGGATGAGATACTCTGCTAGAGGATCTTGCTGACTTGGAGAAATAACCTCGGCTGTGGATGAATTACCGTTGCTGGCGGTGATGAACTCTGTTGGGGATAAACTTCCTGTTTATGGAAGAAATAAACTCAATTGGGGATGGTCTTTCATCGTTGGTGATAGATGAACTCTTCTTGGAGAGAGTCTTACCGATTCATTCGTGATTGCGAATCTCAGCTGGGGAGACCTAACACCACTGTCTTTTTCTTACTCTGTGGGGAGTGTGTGCATTTTTAGTCATATTCTTCAGCTAGGTCTATCCCTATACCTGGTGAATAGAGTAACTGTAAGGCTCAGACATTTCTTGTTTTCCCCTGTTTCTGATATTACGAGTAATCGTCTTTTGTTTCGTATGTAAATATTTATGAGCAGTAATTATTGTCAAATGCATATATAAAAAATGAATCATTGGATGTTCTTGCAAAACAAAACAGAAAAAGAAAAACAATTTTGAAATTTCTTTGTGAAAATGAATTGTATTGATTTTGAAGTTGGCCTGTAAATAGGCGTTTTTGTACAAGAGGCTGACGTCCTAGTAAGAGAACGCCGTTGAACGATAGAATTTATACAATTTATGAAGAACAAAGAAAAACAGCTATGTGAACAATCCATCTGGGTTCCAACTCTGTTATTTCCCTTATATCTTCGAGCGTCTCGTCACTTTGCTACTTGGTTAAAGGTAGATCAGATTGATCGGTGCTGTCCGAGCTTGATAGTCGATACCGAAGTCTGGTTGCAAGATGATCCAACGAGACATAGTGTTACGCTTTGATCCCTAATTTTTGCCTGGACCGCCCTTTCGGGTTTTCAGTCCACCGGGATACCCTTTTTTGCCCAAGCCGCCTTTTCAGTTTTTCGACTTGCCGGGTGTACAGTTTTTCATTTTCATCCCTAACTTTTTCCCGAACCCTTTTGGCTCGCCGGGAAGCCCTTATTTTTTCCTAGGCCAGTCGACCTAGCGGGTCTTTAATTATGCGCAATATTTTTTCACCATGTCTGCATTGACGGGGTGAGGAAGGTCATCACCATCCATGGTGGTTAGAATCATAGCTCCTCCCGAGAACATGTTCTTAACCATAAATGGCCCTTCGTACATAGGGGTCCATTTTCCCCTGGGATCACCTTGAGGTAATATGATGCGCTTGATCACCAGATCCCCAACTTGATATTCTTGTCGTCTGACTTTCTTGTTAAATGCCTTGATCATTCACTTTTGATACGTTTGACCATGACAAATAGAAGTAAGTCTCTTTTTGTTGATTAAGTTCAGTTGATCAAGTCGGGTCTGGATCTAGTCGTCCTCACTCAAACCTGCATCTTTCATAATCCGAAGAGAGGGTATCTGGACCTCAATAGGTAAGACTGCTTCCATTCCATACACCAAAGAGTAGGGTGTTACCCCTGTTGAAGTCCGCGCTGAGGTACGGTACCCATGAAGAGCGAATGGTAACATCTCATGCCAATCTTTGTATGTCACCGTCATCTTCTGCACAATCTTCTTGATGTTCTTATTAGCCATTTCAACAGCCCCATTCATCTTCGGTCGGTAAGGAGAAGAGTTGTGATGCTGTATCTTGAACTGCTTGTAGAGCTCGGTGATCATCGTATTGTTGAGATTTGTACCATTGTCCGTAACGATCCTCTCTGGTACACCGTATTGACAGATTAAATTATGCCGAATAAATTGTGCCACGACGTTCTTGGTCACTGTAGCAAAGGAAACTGCCTCAACCCATTTTGTAAAGTAGTCAATTGCTACCAGGATGAGACGATGCCCGTTGGACGCAGTAGGTCTGATCTCTCCAATCATATCGATGCCCCACATTGCAAAAGGCCAAGGAGCTGTCAAGATGTTCAGAGGAACTGGAGGTATGTGCACCTTATTAGCATAGACTTGACACTTATGACAGGTCCGAGAATGTTGATAACACTCGGCTTCCATAGTAGACCAATAGTATCATGCCCGTAGGATTTTCTTTGCCATGGTATGTCCACTGGAATGAGTCCCGAAAGTACCTTCATGTAACTCTGCCATAATCCTTTCTGCCTCGTTCTTGTCCACACATCACAGTAAGGTTGAATTATGGTTACGCTTGTAAAGGATACCATTACTGATGAAGGACTTCACCGCGAACCTCCTCAGAAACTTCTTATCATTAACAGATGCGCCCTCGGGGTATTCCTGAGCCTCAAGATACCTCTTTACCTCATGAAACCAGGGTTTATCTGTTACTTCTTCAGTCTCGATGTCACAGCAATGTGCGGGTTCGTCCAACCTCTCAATGGTAATATGGGGAGCTTCATTGTCCCACCTAACCTTGAACATAAAAGACATGGTAGCTAGCGTGTCCGCTAACTGGTTCTCCTCTCTTGGGAAGTGTTCAAAG